GTTGGTGGCTGCAGTAGGTAAGGGTTGGTGGCGACAGGCGAGCACTTCTTTGTTTTATGGTGGCAAAACCCTCTTAAGCCCCTAAACTTATCATAAATTAACATGTAAGCCCTAAACAAGAAACAGTGCAAATAAATTCTTAAACCCCTCAAAAATACAAATTAACCTTCAAACTCCTTTAAATATGTTAATCAGCCTTTATCATTAATGGCTAAAGAATGTGACCTAACTCTATCTATTCCTTTTCTTTCGCTTTATCTCATTTTTTTAATATGAATATAAATCAAATAACTTCTTAAACAATTAATAATTTGTCAAAATAAGTAACATAACTTGAGAACACTAAGTAGAAAAATTCACCTAAATTATTTTTGTAAAGTTTTTACTATTTAAGAGATCACATTAATTCATATTGAAATCTATGTGAAAAAATAAAACCAAATAAAAGAAAAGAATGAATGACATGAAATCACATATATTAAATCATTAATAATAAGGATTAATTTATATTTTTTTAAAGAGTTTATTTAATCTATTTTATTTAAAATATTTAAAAATTTATTTATATTATTTTAAATTTTAAAATTGACATATTAATTTAAGGTAAATCTGATAGCAGTGGGAGGTTTTGTCTCTAATTAATTACCACCGACTAGCTCAGAATATCATAGGTTTGTTGGTGTAGGGGTAGGTGATGTTGCCCCCAAGATTTTATTCCATGCCCCCTGATGAGACGTAGACTGAGTACGGCAAATCTTAAAATGCAATGAACTTCTTGAATTGAATTTAATGGAAAGAAATTGGTTTTTTTTTTTCTAATAAAATTTTGATTTTGAATTTTGTGGAAGGTAATAAGTATTGAAATTTTTTTTATAAGATTTAACTTAATTTAATTTTAAATTAATTATGGTTTAATATGAATTCTATGTGTGAAGAGCTATAAAAAAAATGCAATTTGGTTAAAAGTAAAATTTTCTCTAAAAATTTTGAAGATGGTATCTTAATTTTTTTAAGGATATTTTGGATTAATTAATAACTCATTTTATTTAATTAGCATTTTTTAGGCGCAAATTAATAGTACATCTATTATATTTTTTGTTTTAATTTTATGAAATTAGTATACGTTAGTTTTAATTTTTTTAAAATAATTAAAGTACTAACTTCAAAAATACTATTCTTTAAGTTTTTAAAAACAAACAATTAAATTTAGTATTAGATCATATATTTTAATTTTTAAATTAATCAATTATATTTAACTATTTCATTTATTATATCTAACTAGTTTATTAATTATACAAAATTTAAAATATTAAATATATATTAAAAAATACAAAATTTTAATTAATTAATTAATTATAGATGTTAAATCAATTTAAAAATTAATATATATGATATATAGCAATAGAACATTAAATTTAAAGGTTTATTTTTGAAAGTATTCGTTAAAAAGTATTGTTTTTTAAGTTAAAACTCCAATATTTTTATAGGAGTAAGGACTAATGATATAAACTATTCTCTTAATTTATATAGAAAAACATAAAAATTTATATAAAACTTAGCATCACTATTAATTGGATAAATTTAATTAGACAATTGTTAAAATTAATATCAATTTTTATTTTTTATGTTAATAATACCAAAAATATAATAAATACACCCAAACATGTGTATAAAGAGTTCATGATTTGATTTAATTAGTGGTTAGGTAACATATTGAAACT